TCAATTTTTAAAATGGAATGTGATTTTTAAAGCATAATAATTTAAGACTTTTTATGCATTTGGAGTATATTAAGTGTTTTTATTTTTATGAAGAAATTATGTATACATACATACATATATATGTCCACTCTGAAAGAAAACATGGTTATTAGCTTATAAAAAAATTCAGCTGTGAATTAACATTAGCTTTATCTCTCTTCAGTGCATTGTATTGAAGTTCTACTGAGCTTATGAAGAAAATCAACTTTATTTCATCCAGTTATCGAGTTATGAAAATATGAAGTATTTATTTGAACGAATTACTTCTTGACTAGAATACAAGCACCTTCTGACACCAACACAAGCAATTTCAAATGACAGGTATAAAAATGATTGTCAAAGCTGTATTTTGCAGTAAAGTTCAGTAAATATATACGTTGGTAGTGTTGTAAATATCTTGCCATAAGTAAGTAGCTATTTGACATTGACTTTGTACCAAAGTTTTTGAGCTTCCCCAGATGACTTCGAGGAGAGAACAGGGAAATTTCATTACAGAAGGCACAAATTCTCTGGTTTTGTTTTTGCTTTCTCTTTTCCTGTGGGCTCCTTTGTGTGCTAACCTCAATCAGCGCAGACAGAGGTAACACAGACTCCAGAGGGCGCTCACTGCTCTCCGCGCGGCTCCCAGTGATTTAAGTGCTCTGACCCGAGTCACGCCAGCTGGGACCCAAGCTCACCTAGCCTTCGCTCCACCATGGGGCACACCTTGCTTTTCTAAACTTCAGTCACTCTGTGAACTTCAAGAAACATCACAGGAAGAAATGCGGGACAGGGCTCGCACAGAGCTGGCCCTGGGGAAGCAGTAGCTGTTTCTTAAGTCACTTTGATCACATTTATATTTATTATTAAGAAAGAATTGCACTTAACTCAAAAATAAAGCTATGCTGAAAATTTAATGAAGTTTTCCCTTTACTGTGCCGACCTATTGGAAGCTCTATGCTTCTGTTTACTAAGCCCCATCATTCTTGCTCTGAGGTACCATATATCTTTCATTTCCTCATTGGTAATGATGGATAAATATACTCTAAAATCTAAAAATTTTCATTAGCTCGAGCTCACCTCTGAAATGATTATCTTAAGAGATTAGCTATGCTTCTAACTGTAACTCTAGAGTTTAAAATATATAATAGTAAAAAATAACGAAGTTCTTCAATGTCTGTACGTGAGTTATTAGGTTATTGCATAAATTAGCCTTAAAGCCTTAACAAATCTCACAAGTGAACTTTAAGAATCAGTCAACATCTTCTAAAACAAATCAGACTATTTTATATTGTATTTTTCTGATATTGTTATAGATATAATAATTTTGAATAACTTTATTTATCTTCTGGAAACATGTTACATGTTCTTCATTCTTATTTAATAGAAATTGCAGTACTTGTTAGGTTGCAGAGCCTCACAATTATCTTAATGATGGTACTGAATTGTATTGATATTAATATTCCATAATTATCACTACCAAAGCATTAATTGTTAGTATTCATCATTTTTTTTCACAGAAGAGACACATACTACTCATGAGCCACAACTCAACAAAAATATTGCCATTAGCATATAAGCATTAATAAATAATTACACATCTATAATCAGAATGTTGTAAGGTTTAAGCAGCTATATTTAAATTAGTTTTAAGATTTGGAAATTTAAATCTTCTTCGCTGTGTACATTATATAAAATGCCAAAGTTTTGCAGAGTTCTTTAAAGTATATTTTTATATTCCTAATTATATCGATACTTTCCTTAAGCTAAGATCTTGTCTTTACCTGAATAACTTCCAAGCCTTGGCGCGTTGTTGTCTCCCCCATCATAAAAGTCCAGAGAATCCCAGTTATGTTCGGTGGCAAAGCTAATAACTTGCACCTGTGAAATCGCAATGGCTGATAAGAATACATATTGCTAACCGGAAATGTGTGCTTCATTCTACCAATTCCCTGAAGAGCAGAGTCCTCTCCCGCTGGACCACAGCATTGTGACCATGGCTTGAAGAGCAGAACTGATCTTACCATGATCGGAGACGGCCTCCAGGAGCCGATGGTATGGGAAGAGCCTTACAATGAATCAAGTGGTTCTTGGAACACAGAGAATGTCTCCACAACCTCAGAGTATTCTCCGCATTAAAAGCCTTAGGTTAATCTAGTGCCCTCTTAAGAATTGCAATGCAATTTCCAAACAACTCCTTACCATTGATTTTTTTTGGGGTGTGAAAAATCTTGTCTCTGATTGAGTTTTCTGACTTGATTTATTTAGTGACTAGAAAATAACCAGGTTGGTGGTCTAGGGGCATAAAGGAACTTTGATTTATTTATTTTTTAAAGCATACAAAATAGAGATAGAGAAAACAGCATTAAAAAAATACAAAATTTCACTAAACAAAGTAATAAGAATTCAACAATGAAGGGCTGGGGAGATGGCTCAATAGAATAAGTGCTTCCTGGGCAAGTG